GACATGCTGTAAGTTGTCCAGCTGCACCTTCGAGTCATGTAAATCCTTAAGAATGTCACTGTTCTCCTGCTGCAAACGTTGGCGTTGCTGCGAAACGTCATCGATGTTTTTTAACAGGTCTTCAACTTTGTTCTGTAAGTCCCGACTGAGCATTTCGAACTTTTCGGCCGCTTTCTCGGCCAGGTGCTAAAATCCAAAGTTCCATGGTCAGCATCTGCGCTCGTCACTCTGTGCATCTTTCGAGTACCTTATCTTTCTGGAGTTGGTCAATGCTGGCCGTAAGTTCAATAACCTCATGCTGCATCCTCTGCCTTTCGCGGTCAATTCTACAAATCAACAACAAGTCAATTGCCTACTTCTCAATTACGCATCAAGCTCAATACAACGAAATCTAAAATAAAATTTGAATTGAAATTAAAATTAAATAATTTAAATGTTAAAAACAGCATGTGTTTTAGGGAACACAGTTACGCTAGTTTTAAAAAATTGCGCATATATGTTTCAAGAAATTCGCATGATGATTTAAAATGACCAAAGGTTCCCAAAAACTCGAATTAGAGAGCCGATGCATGCTAATCGATTTGTCTAGGAGGATTGTATCCGCAGGTTTGCACAATTAGTTGTAGCTTGGCTGGAGAACCAGGTCAAATATAATAATATACATTACAGCGTGTTATGAACAAGACAAATGAACAATTCCTTATTTCTAACGGTCCTTAAAGACATTAAAAGCATGTTCATATACCATAAATTGGCATCATGTTGTGAAATGCATAAACCTTCAACAATTACTCATATAAGGTCTCTACGAGCTGTAGCAATTAGTCTTCAAGTATTGTATGTTAAACGAACGTATTATTTGAACGCGTAAAAAGGATAGTTTCAGTCTGAATGTTTAGAAACCCCTATAGAAGGAGATACTGCTCCATTCAATCATCCTACCCTCTATCATTTATGGCACTGAATGATAGTCTGCCACTAAAGCTAAGGGAAAAACTTATGGTTATGAACAGAGCGGTTAAACGATAAATTTGTACAGTCTTCCTCAAAAATCACTCCCTGCGTGCCCTAACTTGACAACGAACTGATTTAAACAAACGTAAGTCTTGCCTTCTTCGATGCCAAGAAAAGAGAGGCTTGTCATGTGGCTCACCTGGGAGACAACCGGTGGACGTTAAGAGTCATAAACTGGATTTCGCTGAACCACAACCGTCTGTCATCCAAGAACACGCTGAGATTATCCCCTGGTAAAATTCGCGGTCAACGGTGGGGCATACATAGCGTAAAACAGAGAATAATGAAGGTGCATCGACTTCTTTCATTGCGCACACAAGAAGGACAACTGAGATAACGGATAAAGTGATATTTTTATTTTAAGGCCAAACCTCACATGAATATTGTTGAACTCTTGATAACTAAGGTAAGCAATCACCAGCGAGAAGAGTGGTGAAGTGCTATGACGTCCAAATTCTAATATCCCTCGAGGCAATTATGCCCTATGGCACGAAGAACTTACCATGCTTCTAATAAGAGTCATTCCACGACACGAGGCTATGCCGCATTAAGGCACTATGCCTTTATTCCTGCATTCATAACTGTCCATATAATTAAACGTGCTCCATAATATTTTTATGATCGCTTCTTCTGGAAGACAAACGCCTGAACTGCAAACCTTGGCAGAAGGATTTGGATTATCATCTGTATCTCATCTGATAAAGGCATAATGAATATTGGCCGTAAATTCTTTGAAAAAATGAGAGCCATGTTTTAAGATGCGTAGTTATGAAGCCCATGAAGTCTTAAAAAAAATATTTAACCAAACTACCATGAAATCTAGGGATGCGCAATAATAACTTGGCGATAATCGCACGGGGCAAAATTTACGGATTAGTTCTTTATGCGGTGCATACGATCGTTTAAAGAACGAAGAGAACGGAGCTGGCAGAACTGATTACATCAGATTGGATGTGAAAGACGAACCAACATATTCGAAATTTAAGCCTCACAGTTGGAGGTCAAAGGAGGACGAAGGCCATGCTGCTAAATCACCCTTACCCTCCATAAATATGAAACTGACTAACAAGGTAAAGCAAATAATTAACGATGTCTTTGTCAAATACAGCGGTATGGTAACCATGGAGCTTGAATCAGTTGATTTACGTCAGTGCTTAAAATCGGCGGCGATCTTTCTTGCCAGCCTGAAGTTTACCCAGGGTTAAGTATTAAACATAAAATACCTTCTTCAAATAAACACATTACAAAGTGAATGCGTTTGATAAATTAGAGGCAAATGGAAATTTGGTTTGCCAGTTCCCTCCACTTTGATAAACTACATCATCCAACGATATGGAAAATCTTTAAACGGTATGGGATACCTAAGCACATATTTTCTATATTGGAAGAGATGAATACAGGAACCATTTGTTTGGAAAAAAGCTATCTTAATTGTTTTCTATCAAGTGTGGAATTTGCAACCGAGACGTATACCCTCGCCTTTGCTACTAAACATTTTTCTCGACTTCCGTCTGTCTGCTAACCCTGACATAGAAAAGGTCTCATTCCAAAGGGATCGTGCAGTTCAAGATGTCGGTCTATATATCTTGTTTATCTTAATTATGCAAATTATATTGTCCTTGTGAGTAGTACGGGAAACAGTACTTACTCTAGCCGGTGAACTTTCCGTGTGGGAGCCGAAACGTGGCAGACACCGAGCAGGGGACCAGCATGCAACAAGGAGCTACAGGTTTACAGCAGATCTGCTTTCGGTGAAAAATATAACCTTCTGCAAATCAGTAACCTATCCCTTAGAGCAAAGGTGTCGAAAAGGCTGTGGATGTAATGAAAATCACAACCCAGAGACGTTAAGCTTATACAAAGGGTTCAAAATGATGACCTCAACAAGCAACAACAACAAACAAACGGAAATTAAATATACTGAATTCCTAACCTAAGCAATATAAGAAGATGGATATAATAAAAT